GAACAGGGGGAGATCGTACAAACCCCACACAAACACTCACACTCTGCAGAACAGGGGGAGATCGTACACACTTCACACAAACACTCTCACTCTGCAGAACAGGGGGAGATCGTTCACAATCCACACAAACACTCTCACTCTGCAGAACAGGGGGAGATCGTTCACAATCCACACAAACACTCTCACTCTGCAGAACAGGGGGAGATCGTACAGACTCCACACAAACACTCACACTCTGCAGAACAGGGGGAGATCGTTCACAATCCACACAAACACTCTCACTCTGCAGAACAGGGGGAGATCGTTCACAATCCACACAAACACTCTCACTCTGCAGAACAGGGGGAGATCGTACACACTTCACACAAACACTCACACTCTGCAGAACAGGGGGAGATCGTACAAACCCCACACAAACACTCTCACTCTGCAGAACAGGGGGAGATCGTACAAACTCCACACAAACACTCACACTCTGCAGAACAGGGGGGGGGGGGGTTTATACAATCCACACAAACACTCACACTCTGCAGAACAGGGGGGGGGGGTTATACAATCCACACAAACACTCACACTCTGCAGAACAGGGGGAGATCGTACACACTCCACACAAACACTCTCACTCTGCAAAACAGGGGGAGATCGTACAAACTCCACGCACTCACACTCTGCAGAACAGGGGGAGATCGTACAAACTCCACACAAACACTCTCACTCTGCAGAACAGGGGGAGATCGTACAAACTCCACACAAACACTCTCACTCTGCAGAACAGGGGGATAACGTACAAACCCCACACAAACACTCTCAGTCAGTCTGCAGAACAGGGGGAGATCGTACACACTCCACACAAACACTCACACTCTGCAGAACAGGGGGAGATCATTCACAATCCACACAAACACTCACACTCTGCAGAACAGGGGGAGATCATTCACAATCCACACAAACACTCTCACTCTGCAGAACAGGGGGAGATCGTACAAACTCCACACAAACACTCACACTCTGCAGAACAGGAGGAGATCGTATACACAGACGTGGCCACTTAAAACTCTGGGCAATGCTGCTGCTGCTGCTGCTGCTGATCACGATGCTGGTAACGGGTTACGAGTATACATGAACATATTTGTTTGCATAACGTTTCACCTCAACTTTATGTACTTTTCCCTTTAAGGTCACACAACGGTGCTGCTGCTGCTGTTGTTGTTGTTGACGAGTGTTGTTGTTGTTTGTATTGTTTGTGTACCGCTGACAACGAAGCAACAGCGGCGGCGGCGAGCAGCTTGGACCAAATAATTCCACCCTTGACTCGATCAACTCGGAACTTTCACGTGGATATCTCCGTGGTGTTCACGCCTTAAAAAGGACGTCTACGCATCGGAGCGACGTTTCGGGCCCACGGCCCTTTTAAGTGTTCCGAAGAAGGGCCGTTGCCGCGTCGGAGTGTCATGCCACGAGTCGGGGAACGTGAATAAAGACGAGAAGAACCATTCCCTTTGGTTCTTTCGGTAAAGTCACGTAGGTCGAACAAAAATAATAATAGCTCACGACATTTCGATCGCATGCAAATCAAGAACGAGCAGAACCATTGCCTGAAACGTCGCCCAGTACACACACATTTATTTTCCTTTGAAGGCCACAAATTGTTATCGACTCACGCGTTGAGTTGCTCGTCACCACGCGACAAAGAACCACGCCGCACTTACTATTGGCAGTAAATTCACCCTCCAGTTCCGTCGCGATTCGGAGCCGGTCAACCGCCAGTCGTAAACCCCAGTCCAAGAGCACTCGCCTAGAAGTCCCATGCCCAGGACTCTAGTTCCAGCTACAAGTTTGTAGCTCTCTACTCAGTCCGGGTCTTCATGAGCAAAACACTCGGGCCGCTGCGAAACTGCGCGTTGTTGCATGCGCGTTGAACTTCTTTCGCACCGTACGTAGCCATCCGTGCCGACCGGAGGTGCAGACACGTGGGGCCGTGATGCGAGCCACGGAATTGAATCTACCCTCGAAGAGTCTCGGCGATGCTAGGGGCACAACGCGTGCCAAGAGGAACGTCGCGCCGCGGAGATGGAGCGACGAGATCGACGTTCTGTTGTTGTTACACCGCGTGGCGTTCGGCAAGATGTCCGACGTTTCGCTCCGCGTACCCGGGTTGTCGAGTTGACGTTCCCGTTGTAAGTTGCATCTGAAGGCGTCCGTCATTGAGTCGAAGCCGAGGGTCCTGATTGTTCTCAGCTGTGCCGGAGGCCTCTGCATCAGAGGGTGCGCAGACTGGCCCCATGGTATCAGTTCGCGTGCAAAGGTGCCGCCAGGTGGACTGTCACATCCGCAGGGCTCGTGATCGGTGGCGGTGGCGGCTTGTGGAGGCATTCATCCAGCAGTGGAATGACCACGGCTGATTTGTTACCATGACGATGCGTTCGGGCAGGTGTGTCGTCACGCCTTGGCTGTGATTGCGATGTCCCTGTTGGCTGCATAACGAGCGCTTGATTGATGATGATTTTGACGATGATGATGTCTCAGATACTGCTGTTGATTATGATTCGAGATTTGAAGTTTTCGTGACTGCAAGGATACTGATTATTGTTTTTTTACCCTTTTATCTGGCAACAAAACTGACACCTTTTTGTACAAGGAGTCATCTGGTCCAACCCATGTGGGACTAGGCTCTAAGGAAAGCTGTCTCGGGTGTGGACCAATCAACTTCAAGGACAGTGCATACATTATCAGAGTTATGTTTTTGTTTGCATTACGACTGCAGGTATTGTGGTCTATGCAAACATGACTCCTTGTAAAAAAAGGTGTCAGTTTTGTTGCCAGATAAAAGGGTAAAAAAACAATTATCATATTTTTCTACTGGCAAATGAGGTTCCAATGATGCAAGGATACTTTTTGTTTTTTTCGGCAAAGTCACGTAGGTGAAAACAAAATGAAATAAGACAACTCAATTAAATCACGACGTTTCGGAAGCAACACAAGCATCCGTCATCAGGTGTGACTGCTCCAGCAAAATTACTGTAGCGTATGAACATAGCTTTTTATAGACACGTATTTATATTGTTGCTTCCAAAACGTCGTGATTTAATTGAGTTGTTTTTCACCTACGTGACTTTACCGAAAAAACCCAAGAGTATGTGTGTTGATTATGATGTTGACGGTGACAGTTAATCTACCGCTGGTACAACAAGATGTGATATACGTGGCGATGGGCAAGCAAGCGGGGTCTGAGCTGGAAAGGAATTCCATCCGCGGACGCAAGCACGTCAGTTGTGTTCATGGGGGAGATTAGGGAAAGAGAGATTAGGGAGAGAGATTAGCATGAAATGAGTTTCCGTCACCGCGTAAGAGTATCATCCCCGCATATGCGCACAACAGCAGCAGTGTCATTGGGAGATTGTTGTCACAGCTCTCTCGCTGGTTCAGCAGTTCCACTGCTGGATGATTTTTTCCGCCTGAGGACGACCGCTTGTGTTGCTGATCGAAACGTCGTGATCTGTTATTTTTTGTTTAATTATTTTTCTACCTACGTGACTTTACCGAAAGAACCAAAGAATATGGATTCCTGCAGTCACGAAAGCTTCAAATCAAGATGATCTTAGATACGACTGCTAGTGACGATGATGGGCCATCCGCGGCTGCTGATGGTATCTCAAATAAAGTTGGCGTCGATGGTGATCGCGCAGATGCTGCAACTGATGATGATGCTGCTGCTGCTTCTGATGGTGTTGATTGAATGTGTGGGCTTGTTGGGATAAGTGCTGTTAGCAAGCCCCTATTAAGACCAACAAGGTGGTGGTGATGGTGAATTATGGTGGTGGGGAGTGGCCGGCACGCTGCGCTATGAACCACGGTGACTCGAGTTCGATTCCCGCTCACACTCAACACCGGTGACGATTATCTGAACCGGTCCTGGGCCTCCCCGAGGTCGACTCAGCCGCAAATGAGTCACTGGCGCAGTGTGTACACATCGCCTTGAGTGCCAGTGCCGGCCTTCATACGTGCTACTCGATCACAGCACTTGCCCCAAAAATCTGTTCAGGCTATACGGGGGATAGTTTTTGGTGGTAGTGATGCCATAATGCATACCAGGTTGCTATAGGTGGCAGCGGCGGGGTTAAGCGGTGGGCATCCATCGCTGTACCGTACTTCTATGACTGCCGCCTGTACGTACGATCCCCACATTTCGCTAGCCAGCACTAACCAGCGTGGTGAAGTATGGTCAAATAGCCTCCCACAACACGCACGGGCGTGGGAAAGTCCTCATGCAGCAGTGCAAGATAACCTCGTCTATAGCACGTGCAAGGTAACCTCATCGTCTCTAGCACGGGCAAGGTAACCTCGTCGTCTCTAGCACGTGCAAGGTAACCTCATCGTCTCTAGCACGTGCAAGGTAACCTCGTCTGTAGCACGGGCAAGGTAACCTCGTCGTCTCTAGCACGTGCAAGGTAACCTCATCGTCTCTAGCACGGGCAAGGTAACCTCGTCGTCTCTAGCACGGGCAAGGTAACCTCGTCTGTAGCACGTGCAAGGTAACCTCGTCGTCTATAGCACGTACAAGGTAACCTCGTCGTCTCCTACACGGGCAAGGTAACCTCATCGTCTATAGCACGAGTTGCTGATGTTGCTGCTGATGTTGCTGCTGATGTTGCTGCTGATGTTTTGGTCGAGACGACATAAAATAATGATCTTCAAAGAATCCCCAAAAAAACTCGAGCGGCCAGTGAACTAACTGTGCGTTACTCCATCCCCGTATGCGGGTCCTCAGCTAGTGCTGGAAATTCCACATTCCCATGACGGGGGAAGGAGGCGGGGGGGGGGGGCGCAGCCTCTCCGTAGGACGAGCACTGCCGTCTGCGCACGCACGAAGCTGTTAACTATTTTATCGGCCTCACAGGAGGGCTTTTGGTGGTGGTGGTGATGTTGACAGTCCAACTCAAACCCCCGGGGTGTGTGAGACCTCGCCTCGGCGAGACGCGGCAACTGACTGACCCAGAGAGAGAGCCCGTTCAGGAGTAGAACTCAGGTGTGGCGGCGGCGTTGGTGATGATAATGGTGGTCGTTGTGGGTCCTCGGATGTCAACTCGGCTTGTACCAAACGAGTCTCTTCTCGACGCAGCCCCCATACCCAGGGGGCGTCGTTAGACGAGTGCGCTCCGGGACACGTCCCACCTTGGCGTCCGATTCCTTGCCAATGATGCTGTCGATGGTGAATGATGGTTTGGCAGTCGGTTGACCACCGCCACCACAACCACCACCACCACCATTCCCGTTGGTCGCTCCCACCACATCTCTGTCGGCTTCCTTGCCGTCGAAGGTCACCGCCGGGAACGACGGAGGAGGGCGTGGGAGCTGATGGAGGCGGCGGCGGCGATGGGGCTGACGGCGGTGCGCGCGGGGTGCCCGCGTCCCCTCGCTCGGGGGAGCTCCGAGTCGTCTCGCGACGCGCCAGCGGTGGCAGGAGAGGCAAGGCGAGTGGCGGGTAAGGTGGAGGAGGGTCCTGCCGTCCTAATAGCGGCGGTGGTGCGGTTAACACCGCTCCTTGCTGCTGCTGCTGCTCATGACGATGGCCGTGGTGATGATGATGCTGTTGCTGTTGCTGCTGCTGATGGTGGTGATGGTGGTGGTGATGATTCCTCGCTCGTAACGGTGTAGTCAGACCACCGCCCAGCGAGCTCGCGCAGAAGGTGTAATGGTGCTGCTGATGATGCTGCTGCTGCTGATGATGCTGCTGCTGCTGCTGATGATGATGAGGCACGTAACCCAGGCCAGAGATGGCGAAGTGAGCGGCAGACGCGTAGTCATCGGCGCTCATCCGCTTAAAGCGCTTCCGTCGGCGCAAGAAGGAGCCGTTGTCGAACATGTCTGCCGAGTCGGGATCCAGGGTCCAGTAGTTGCCCTTGCCGGAGTTGCCCGGCTCCCTGGGCACCTTGACGAAGCAATCGTTCAGCGACAAGTTGTGGCGGATCGAGTTCTGCCACGCGGGGAACTTGAGTCGGTAGTAGGGGAAGCGCGCGCTGATGAAGTCGCAGATCTCGCTGAGCGTGAGTCGCTTGTGTGCGCTCTGCAGGATGGCCATGGTGATGAGCGCGATGTACGAGTAGGGAGGCTTCACCACGACGCTCTGCCGGGAGGCGACGCAGCGTCGTGACTCGTCCTCGACGTCGCTGCGACCGCCGTCTCCGACTCCGACATCGGCACCGGTTGTGACAACAACACCACCGCCAACACCACCGGCACCACCACCGGCACCATCTGCCACATCGTCACAGCTGCCGCCGCCGCTGCTGCTGCTGTACTCGGGGCTGTTGCTCGCATCGCCACCGTCGCTGCCGACGCACGGGACGCCGCCAAACGTCCCACGTCGGACGTCGACGCTGCGAGCCGACGAAGACGACGACGGGGAGGATGATGACGACGAGGAGGATGACGACGAGGAGGACGAGGACGAGGAGGTGTAGCCAGGCGACGATTGCCCCGCGGGTGTCGTCACGATGGTCTGGCAGGGAGCGACCTGTCCGGGCGATGTCTGCCCGAGCAACGAGCCGCTGAACCTTTCTGCTCTGGCGACGATGTCGCGCTCGTCCTCTCGGCAAGAGCCCTCGCTGTTGCTGCTGCTGTTGTTGTTGTTGCTGATGCTGTTGTTGCTGCTGTTGTTGTTGTTGCTGCTGCCGGCGTTGTTGTCCGAGTCGCTGTCGCCGCTGGGACCTCCCACCACGTCGATGTCATCCGTGTCCAGGTCCGGGCTGCAGTCGATCATCCTCTCGCCTCGACCCAGCGTCATGGCGAGTCGAGATCTTTGTGTCTTTGCGCTCGCCCCAACAAGAGTCCGGCTCAGGCTATACGGGGGATCTTTGCCTTGGTGTGTCTTGTGTGCGTGTGTGCGCGTGTGTGCGTCTGTGTGTGTCTTGTGTGTGTCTTCTGTTTGTGTGTGTCTGTGTGTGTGCGTGTGTGTGTCTGTGTGTGTGCGCGTGTGTGTCTGTGTTTGTGTGTGTCTTCTTTGTGTGTGTATGTGTGTGTCTTCTGTGTGTGCGTGTGTGTGTGTCTGTGTGTGTATTCTGTGTATGTGTCTGTGTGTGTCTGTGTGTCTTCTGTGTGTGTGTGTGCGCGTGTGTGTGTGTGTGTGTCTGTGTATGTGTCTGTGTGCCTGTGTGCGTGTGTGTGTGTCTGTGTGTGTGTGTGCGCGTATGTGTGTGTGTCTGTGTATGTGTCTGTGTGCCTGTGTGCGTGTGTGTGTGTCTGTGTGTGTCTTCTGTGTGTGTCTGTGTAGTGTGTGTGCGTGTGTCTGTGTGTGTCTTCTGTGTGTGTTTCTTATGTGTGTGTGTGCGTGTGTGTGTCTTCTGTGTGTGTGCGCGTGTGTGTGTGTCTGTGTGTGTCTTCTCTGTGTGTGTGTTTGTGTGTGTCTCTGTGTGTGTCTGTGTGTGTGTCTTCTGTGTGCGTGTGTGTGTCTGTGCGTGACGTCTGTAGCTAGCTATGTGTGTCTATGTATGCGTGTCTATGTATACGTCTCTGTGTGTGGCTGTCTTTGTGTGTCTATGCGTATGTCTGCATGTGTTTGTGACTGTATATAAATGCATGTGTGTTCGTCTTTGTGTACGTAGTTGTATCTATGCGTGTGTGTCTATGCGTATGTATCAGTGTGTGTGTGTGTGTGCCTACGTGTGTCTATGTGCGTGCCCCATCAACCCGTGTAGGCTATTTGGGGTATATTTTTATGTGTATGTGTGTGCCTCTATGTGTGAATTACTAAACGTTTGTGTCTATATATATGTGTCTATTTGTGTGTCTATGCGTGTGTACATATGTATATGTGTGTGTCTGTGTGTGTGTCTACGTGTGTATCTACGTGTGTCTACGTGTGGCTGTGTGTCTACGTGTGTCTGTGTGTGTGTATATATGTCTATGTGTCTATGTGTGTGTCTATGTTTGTCTACGTGTGTCTACGTGTCTATGTGTGTCTGTGTGTCTGTGTGTCTACGTGTGTGTCTGTGTGTGTGTATATATATGTCTATGTGTGTGTCTGTGTGTGTCTACGTGTGTATCTACGTGTGTCTACGTGTGGCTGTCTATGTGTGTCTGTGTGTCTACGTGTGTGTCTACGTGTCTATGTGTGTCTGTGTGTCTACGTGTGTGGCTGTGTGTGTGTATATATGTCTATGTGTGTGTCTGTGTGTCTATGTGTGTCTACGTGTGTGTCTACGTGTGTGTCTGTGTGTGTCTACGTGTGTGTGTGTGTGTCTACGTGTGTGTCTGTGTGTGTGTGTCTAGGTGTGTGTGTGGATCGCGCTCATGGGCACACGGGAGTGGTCATAGTGTCGAACGCGAATTGTCTCTCCGCGTAATCGCTACCTATAGAGTCTAAACGACAAAGTATATATTTAGTATAATGTATGCTTACGAATATTTGTGTGTGTTTGTGTTGCAATGTTTTAACCAGATGTGTACTTTACGTCGTGTGTGTATTTGTGTATAGATGCTCGCTAACGGCACTTGCCTCCAACATTCTGTGCAGGCTATACGGGGGATCTTTGTATTTGTGTGCACGTGTGTGTATGTGTGTGTACGTGTGTATGCCGTATGTCATGTATGTTCATCAGACACACACACACAATGGCACGTGTGTACGTGGTTCATGTGTGTGTGCCGTCTGTCAAAGAGATGGGCATGACCTCATTTTCCATCTGCAAACTCATGCAATTAAATGCGTATGTGTTGACGTGATACACATGCGTATGTTGTGTGTGTAGTATCACTGTTGCATGTCTGTGTATTGTCTATACGCATGTGTATACGCATGCGTGTATCTCCCAATATATGTCTCTGTGTATCTCTCTACGTCTTTGTGCTGATATAAATACTTAATATTTCTCCCCTTGTGTTTTAAATCTGCAATACTCTATATCTGTGTGTATATCTACATTTATCTATCTGTGTATATGTGTATCTTTGTATATGCCCCTGTGTATGTGTATGCCTGTATTTGTGTACCTGTGTGTATCTCGATGTGTCTCTTCGTATATCTGTGTGTGTTGCTCTATGTATTTCTCTGTGTGTGTGTCTCTGCGTGGGTGTATGTGTGTATATCTCTGTGTGTGTCTCAATGTATACAACTGTGTGTCTGTGTATCTGTGTGTGTACCTATGTGTATCTCGATGTATATCACTATGTCTCTGTGTGTGTCTGTGTGTATGTGACCTGTGTGTCTCTGGGTATATCTCTGTGTGTGTCTGTATCTCTGTCCTCTGTGTGTGTATCTCTCTGTGTGTGTGTGTCTCAGTGTATACAATTGTGTGTCTGTGTGTGCACCTGTGTGTATCTCGATGTGTCTCTGCGTATATGTGTGTGTTGCTCTATGTCTACCTGTGTGTGTATGTGTGTGTCTGCGTGTGTGTGTCTGTGTGTATATCTCTGTGTTTATCTCTATGTGTACCACTGTGTGTGTATGTGTTATCTGCGTGTATTTCTATGTATCTCTGTGTATAAACCTCTACGCGTGTGCATCTGTGATGTATCTTCGTGAAGAACGGCCTTGGGACGTGTCGTCACTCACGTCTGCCGGCAAAGTCCAAGCCGCTTCGTAAGTTATTTCCTCGAAGTCTTTCAAAATAAAAACCGAAAAGAAAGAAAAAAAACACGCGGGCACACCACTCACGCACACGGCCGGTTTGTCGCTTCGCTGCAACTCAAGTCGAACATTTCACGAACATTCTAAACATCGCCTACAAAACATAAATTCACCGGCCCAACTCATCGGGACTTCGCGAAGGTGCCGTCTTATGGCGATCGCGTTGATGAGATTAACGGTGCAGAGTCGTATTGTTGTTGTTGTTATTGTTGTTGTTAGTGTTGTTGTCTTTGCACGTAGGTCGGCTCTTAAGCCTCTGTTGCTCTTAACTGGCGAACTCCCCTAAGCTCCTCCCGCAACTCGCATTCGCTGGATAAAGAACACAAAGTCCGTAATGTCGTTCGCCCCCTTCCCTCGGAGCGGTTATTGCCGTCTGTTCTCGACCGCTTGCGATCCCAGCCTCGGCGAATACTGATCGAGTTCATCTTAAGACCGGGGACCCCCTCCCCTATACCCCACTCACTCACTCGCACGCACTCGCACGCACACACGCACATGGACAGGGGTGGGGGGGGGGTCACACTCTCTCCACAGAAGACATGCACGCCAGCAAGTCCAATAACACGCAAACACACACTCACACACACACCCCCTCTCTCCCCACCACCCCACACACCACGACCGCGCACACACACCATTGCAGCAACGCTTCCAAACCAACATCGCTGCCGCAACCACCAGCACCACCACCACCACCAACTCTTCTCCACCCATCAACCCTCCCGCACCAGCAGTAACCCCCCCCACCCACCCCTCCTTACACACACAAAGACAACGCTCTTGCTGCTTCCTACTCCTCCTCCTCGCTCCCTTCCCGAGCGTGTCGCCTGCATCAGGCTGCTCGGAGGAGAGCGATGTTAGCTAGGGACCAGGTGGGGGGCGGGGATGGTCGAGATTGTGCGGTTCGCACCCGCGCCCGGCCGCCTTTGTCTCTCCCCGGTGCTGATATTGATTTGCCCAGTGGAGCCTCGGGCTTAATGTTGAGAGCGAGAGTGCTGTTAGCGAGCGGCTATGAAGGCCGGCACTGTGGCACACGAGGGGGTGGGTGGCCAGCACCACCCACGCCCGGCCGCCTTTGTCTCCCCAATGACGATGTTTACACACCGCACCAGGTACTCATTTGAGGCTGAGTCGACCTAGGGGAGGCCCAGGACCGGTTCAGATAATCGTCACTGGTGTTGGCCGTGAGCGGGAATCGAACCCGGGTCGCCAGGTTCATAGTGCAGCTATGAACACACAGACACACACACAGACACACACAGACACAGACACACACAGACACACACACCGATATACAGACTGACATTCAGACAGACACACACACAAACATGCACACACACAGACAGACACGCCTAGAGACAAAGACCCCCAGACAAAGATCCCCCGTATAGCCTGTAACAGACTGTTGGGGCAAGTGCACACACACCTTCAACACACACAGACACACACACAGACACACACACAGACACACACACAAACACACACACAAACAGACACACAGACACACACACAAACACACACACAGACACACACACACACAAACAGACACACAGACACACAACAACACACACACACACACACACAGACACACACACAGACACACACAGACACATACACACAGACACACACACAGACACACACACAGACACACACAACAGACACACAACACACACAACACACACACACAGACACACACACAGACACACACGGACCAGCCCACCCACTCTCCATAGCCCCCCCCCTCCCTCCCCATTTGCTTCGAGGGGGATTGGAGGGAGGGGGTCGTGGTGGTGGTGGGTGGTGGGTGGAGGGGAGGGGGTCGTGGTGGGGGGGTGGGGGGGATGGAGGGGAGGGGTTGGGGCTGTGACGTATCCACGTCGCGTCATCGTTTCAGGCACTCGCTCGCCCCCCGCCATTGTTTGAGTTGTTCCATGATCATGGCGTTCTATTAGCAACGATAACAACAATATTGTTATACATCTTAGAAGTCTATCGCTCGCTTTACGACACAATATCCTGCTTAGTGCACTGCGCGCGCGGCATTTAGTGCAAGGCACGCAGAGCCCTTCATCATCGATCAGTGGATAGAGCACTGATGATGATGACGATGATATCGATCCGATCCTTTGTCAAGTCACTCGCTGCAGGATGGGAGGGACCCTCATCGCCATACTCCACCACCCCTGCACAGGACTAAAGTATTTGAGGCTGAGTCGACCTTGGGGAGGACCGGTGCACGCATTCGTCACCGATGTTGACTGCGAGCGGGAATCGAACTCGGGCGGATCTTCGGTGACTGTCGCCGGTGTTTGAAACGGCGGCTCCTGGGGAGACAAAGGCGGCCGGGTTGTGGTTCTGGTCACTACCACCGTCTCATCGTGTGTGCGAGCTCCGTTAATAGGTGCTCGCTAACAGCACTTTCCCCAACGCCTTCCAAGACAAAAGTGTGGGAAGAATTACATTGGGACACCGTGAACCCCCCCATCCCCCTTAAGCGCGGGGCCCGGGGCGAACGCCGCGATTCTGAGTGCACTGCACGTGAGAAAGGGTTACATTGACACTCGCATGCAGTACTTAACTCCACGCGGTCAGAGGTCTCCTGCACGCGCAGTGTTTATACAGCGTGCGTGTGTGTGAGTGTGTGTGAGTGTGTGTCTGTGCGTGAGTGTGTGAGAGTGTGTGTGAGTGCGTGTGAGTGTGTCTGTGTGTGAGTGTGTGAGAGTGTGTGTGCGTGTGTGAGTGCGTGTGAGTGCGTGTGTGTGCGTGTGTGAGTGTGTGTGTGAGTGTGAGTGAGTGTGTGTGTGAGTGTGTGTGTGAGTGCGTGAGTGTGTGTGAGTGT